AAGTTCTTCAATTTAGATTGAAATATAAGTACAGTGCCATCCACAGATAGAGTTGTAGCATTGACTTTACAGAGGTGATGGGAGGTGCAAAGAGGCATGTCTTCAGTCTTATTGTAGTTTAAATTAAGGACATTTTGAGTCATCCAGGTTTTTATGTCAGAGATGCAAGTAGACAGAGCAGAAACAGACACTTCTGTGTCAAGTTTAGTATAAACATAATATAAACATTTGACTGACATCAGCATAGAAATGCTGGCCAAGTGGGAACATGTGAATGCTTAATAGTAGGGGGGTATCAAGCCCTGAGGAATAAAAGAGTTACTGAACTAAACTTCTGAACTGAAATTCCCAAGAGTGGAGAAGTGTAGGTGATTAGTAAGGTAAGAGTTGAACAAATTAAGAACTAATGTCAGAAACTCCAAACTGTGTCAAGATGAGAAAGTAAGATGTCATAGTCAACACTGTCAAAAATAGCAATGAGGTCAAGGCAATTAAGGATATCTGGAATGGGATGCCATCAGAAGATTATTAGTGACTTTAACTAGGGTAGTTTCTGTGCTACGTAGTTGTCTAGGGATAGTTTTGCTTTAAGACACTCATGAGCTTTTTTCATTTTATTTTGTTCAGGGTTATCATAATCAACTTCTCAACTATTTCTTGTATAGTTTTAACCCTAACCCTCTAAACCTCCAGTTTAGTTTTGCAATTTCTGTATATAAATTTGCATTAGTATGATAATACAAAGGGCCTTTGGAATCCTTGTATAATAGGTAGTATGTGGGTGATTAAACTGGATAATCCTTGTAGATGGAATATAAAAGTGTTGGAACAGCCAGTTATGAAGGTGAATCAGGAGTGCTGAGTACTTGCATCCTATCAGGGCAAAGGTAGAAGAACCAGGTGTGCAACACACAGTTACAAGGAATGAAGATGAGACTATAACTGAGAACACTACTTTTTTAAACTATTTCACAGTCTGTAAGGGATCACAGAAACATAGCTTATCAAAAAGGAAAATGATGAAAGTCACACTGACACACTGGTCTGGAGATAATGACCTAGTTAGGTATTCTATCGTTCTTAGAATAATATATTTACTTGTGTAAAACCATGTATCTGGGGTCACACTTTTTATTAATACTGAAAGGTTTTGAAAAAAAACTAGTGTCTTTGTTTTTAAACATATTTGCTTCACATAGGATATACAGTAGGGGATTGGTAATTATATTATTTATTTTGCTTTTGATAAAAGGTTGTGACAAAGAGCAGCTGGCAGTTATATGAAATTATACATTGCTTTACTCACTTATGCATTCTGGAATTTGACTCCACTGTCCCTTTTCACAAAAAATCAATTTTTGTCCTTGAATTTCGTGTGTTTCCTCACAGCTGTATTCCACCTGGGAACCATCATTATATTCATTCAGTAAGGGCCCAATAATTGTTGCATGTTCTACATGAGGAGGGGCATCACAAAGTTTAGTCTGTACTGAATAGGAGACAAAATTGTAAAAAAGTCTTTGCATTTCTCTATCCTTCTTAGAGAACAATGGGTTTCTGGAGCTTCATCTTTAAAAACATTAATTAGTAATTATCAAAACCTATCAAAACATTTTCAGTGAATCAAAAAACATTTGAGATTGTAAATTAAATGCAATTGTTCTTGAAGTAAAAAGTCCTTGATCCCACACTATTTTTGAAGAACCTTATTTACCATTGGCAAAAGAGCTGTGGAGAAAAGCTGCTGAGCAGCTCGACCTGCTGCCCCCTCCTAAAGACACAGCCACTCATG